GCTTCCCAAGAGTGACATCTGGCTAATAGTAAGAAATGAGAAACTCAGTTTTATAATCACTAAATAATACCAATAACCTCAATGATGCTGGAAAGTTTCTTCCTCAGAGCCTCCAGATTTGAGCCCAATCCAGCCAATACTTGATTTTGGTCTCATGACACACTAAGTGGAAAATCCAGTCAAACCTACTGGCTTCTACCATAAATAAATCATGAGGATATAACTTACAGCATGATGACTCTAGTTGATACTACTATATTACACATTTGAAAGTTGCTGAGAGGAGATTTTAAAAGTTCTCACTGTAAGAAAAAGATTCTATGACTATACATGGTGATCAATGTTCATTAAACTTACTGTGGTGATCATTTCACAATATATACAAATAAGCGGATGTTGTTTTAAGCTGCTAAGTTTGTATTACTGGTTATAAAATAGTAGAAATCACCTCATCTATCACAAAACAAAAATTTATTCTGAGACAGCTTGTCTCCTAATTCAGATAATCATACCACCAGCCATATCCATCAAAAATGGAAGGATCATCAGCCATGCTTTTCTCTCTACCTGCCACTTTAATTGGCATAAATTCCTTTGTACACTTTTGTCCTGCCTCTCAACTATGTCTTCTATTCTTTACCCCAACTTGAAGCCTAACTGTGCAATGGGGCAACCAGAGGGAGAAGAGGGGAGAAAGGCTGAGAACAGAACAAGGGGAGGGAGCACAATGGGCTATGGCGATGGACTGAAGGTTCGTTGGTTATGGGCACATAATGGCAACAATACCTGAAGAGGAATCATATGCTTTAATTATGGCAACAATGACATGTAAACACTCTCTGCTAATACTATCTATTAAACTGTTGGTCAATACAATTAGATAACAAATGCCAATTACTCTAATAAGAATGCACTGGAAAATTGGCCAAAGTTCAGTAAGGCCTCTAGACTAATTGATAACACTGTGTAAGTGCTGATTTCCTGGTTTCAATAACTGTACTACTATGATGTATAAAATGGGAGATGACTGAAGAACACAGCACAGGATTTCTGTACTAAGCGCTGTTGACAACTGGAACTGGAAATTCTTTGCTGTGGGTGGTTTCCTGCGTGTTACAGGATTTTTAACAGCATCTTTGGACTCTCCCAACTATGCTGTGCCAGTAGCAACTTCCCCGAACTTCACACCCCCAAGTTGTGACAACCAAAAATATCTTCTGATAGTGCCAAATATTCCACAGAGGAAGGAAAATTATCTGTGCTCTAGGGTAAACAAAACTATGAGAATCATTATCACACTAAAAAATATAACCATCTTTTTAATTCTTAAGAAAATATAAAAAGTTGTAACAAAACATCACACTCAATATTTTAACAAAATGTGTTTAAGGAGGTACTTAGTTTCTAAAAACATAAAAAGTATCAGCCGTCTCAATAATAGGAAACTTTATTTCTAGCATCAAATCAAAAGAAATCTCCATGTTTATCTACCTCTTTGTGTTCATTGATGCTTTCATCATCCATTTATTAGTGAGAGGATCAAACATCTCCATGCTACCTAAATGTTCATTTCCATCATGTCCACCCACTGCATACACTTTACCTGTTAAATAGAGAGGTGTTTCATTTTATTGCAAATAGTTTATATATACATATTTATATAATCAATATGTAATTAAATAGCATGATAAATTAATTATCAGCAATGACTCTTAGAGTCAACTGAAAATAAATACATCTTCCACTTATTCCTGGAACCTACTATTTTATATAAGGTATTTAAATGCTTATCCTTCCCATCCAAATTTTTATTTTTAGATTAGAAAGAAGAAAAAAAAAAAGATTAAAAAGAAATGCCCTAACAATTTATCCATGGCCCTGCAATTTTAGTAACCAGTAAAGAAAAATCTCATTTAATAAGAGGCATTAAAAAAGGATACATAATTATTATTTGGGTTCAATAATCACTTTTTTTAGTTTGCTTCTCTTAATAAGGCTGAAAATAGTTTACTTTACTTCTTTATTTTAATTCCCTTTTCTCTGATATTCATCTTCTGTTAAGCACCTATATATAAGCATCTGAGGGGCACTGAATATGCACAGGCACAAAGCAGGTAAATAGCTACTACCCGATATTTTATTTGTATATTGAAAAATAAATTTTAATTTAGTAATTTTCTTATAGAAATTCTCAAGGTTGAAATATTTAAAAAGAGCATAATAGCCACCTGATGCAATTTGAGACTATAGTACCCACCTTCCACAGAAATTACACCCACGTGTCGCCTTCGACTATTCATTTCTGGTCCGAAGAACCAACTGTTTTTGTTGACAGAATAGCATTCAATACTGCGAAAGGGGTCACCAGATCCACCTCGACCACCAACGCAGAACAGGACACCTGAAGATGAAGCCACAAAACAGAGATAAAAATCCTAGTTCTCTAAGTGTTTTATAATTAATATGGAAAAGAATTTAGAAAATAAAAAAATTAATGGCAAAGAAGTGAGCTGTTTAAATATCATTCAATGTCAGTATGTCTACTAAACATCTATTTTTCATTTTCTTCACTCATTTGAATTTCTCAAATAAGATACATCACCAATCTGCTTGCTAACATCCTACAATATGGTTTATTATCAATTCTGTATATGGTTTTAACAAAATCCATGGTAATGGATTTTGGTAATTTTTTACTAACATAAATGCAACATTAAACATGTTGATCGTCCTGTTTTCTGGGAAATTCTATGTTTTCAATGTTTCAACCTTACCCTACTTCTCATATAGGAAAAATTTATTCCTTTATTTTAGATTCCATCTATAATCATAATGCCTTCCAATCTACAATTCCAAGCCACATTTCTACTGGGTGTCCCAAAGCCACCAAGTTTAAAAGAATCTCCTCTGCTCTTGTATCTATACAACTTCTCCCTTCCCTAACATGTCCATTCTCTCTCTAGTTCGGTTACCACTGTCTTAGTTCGGTTCATCATCAGCTTACACACAACTATTACAAAATCCTATCCTCTCTCAGTCATCTTGTTGCTTTCAGATTATCAAGAGCAATCTAATTTGAAGGCTCTTTTCAGCAGCTTTCCATAACTTATGTTAGTTCTTAAAAACTTAACTGAACACCACTGAACTGTACATTTAAAAAGTTAAAATGGCCAATTTTTTGTGTAATATACATGTCTTCACATTTTTCAAAATTCAAATTTTAGTGTAGTTCAGAATCAGCTGGAAGACATAAAACACATTATTGATGGGCCCAGAATTTTTAATATAGTAAGTTTGGGTACAAAAAATTTCTAGAAAGTTCTCAAGTGAATGCTGATACTATTTGTCAGGTGCCATCATTTTCTTCACATTTTGAGAACCAATGCCCTTCAAGATAAAACTTTGGCAGAACATAAGAACTTTACAGTGTCTCCAACTGGTCTTCTCTTTCTCAAATGTCATGCTCCTGCAACACACTTCTAATAGTAATCCCTCTGTGTTCCAACAGTAGCAATACACAGTACAGAAATGACCTATTAATACAAAATCTAAGTTAAGACTGTGTGTTAAGCATTTATTCACCTTTAAGGACCAGCACAGTGCCTGGTATGTACTATACATTCAATAAATATGAAATGAAACTAATACAACTCACTTGAACACCCAGAAAAAAAAATCTACTTATTATTCAAAACTATGACAGAGGCATAATTCCTCTATAAACTTTTTCTGACCCTTCCAAGATAAAAATAAGTACTTTTCTTTTTGCTTTCCACTGCCCCCTGTGATTATATCAACAAACCTGTAATACTTTATTGCATATTTATTCACACATCTATTTCCCTAGATCTTACCACAAGTTTTCCAAAAATAGGGCTGGCTGTATTCTATCTGTGCTTGCATTTCCAATACCTAACCCAGACCTGGAATTTGATAGGCACTTAATGATCACATAAATGAGTGACCAGAATTATTTGTACAATCTTTTCCAACAATAATTCATTATTTTAAGTCAGAATAATTTAAAGTTGGGAGAGACTTTCAAGATTATGCCATCAAAATTGTTTATGAACAACTGAGGTCTTTCAAGATTAAGAAATCCACCCCAAATTAACCACCTGTGGTTAATGTCACAGCTGGAATTATAATTCCAGAATGTAACCCCAATCACCAATTGGATTTTCTTTAAGTGCACACTAATATTTCAGCAATATAGGTTATAGAGGAACATGGTATGGAATTACAAATTGATAGACAAAGATTAGGATGCAAGTCCTTTGCTCTTCTGTGTGACCTGGGGCAGAAATTTACTTTCTCTCATTTTTAGTCTCTTCATCCATAAAATGGAGTATTGCCTATTTCAAAGTAAGGAGTGAGCCCTTCACTAAAATCTAAAATCTTCATAAATTTCTTGCCATCATGGAAGATATCATGAATCTGAGGGTTTATATATGGCACACAGGACTACAAGTAGTCTGCCAAGGCAATGAATTCCAATCTGAACTTGAACTTCATTAAATAGCTTGACTTCCTATATATCTTCTCTACATTTGTTAAAAGAGTTGGTTATGTTGAATACATTTTCAGGATGTATTTGTTAACTATTTAATGAACATACTAAGGCAACATTTACCACAATCACAAGACATTTAATAAACATTTTCTACTTATCATTTACATTTGTTAAAACAGCCTGCTACACTGAATACATTTTCAGAATAATTACCTTGGCTTCCTCAAACAAGATTAAAAACTTACAAAAGCTTTGTACACTTCAAAAAATTTAAAATTTTTATATCAACCTATAAAATAGAGCCAAGACACATAAGCAGTCCTATTCACATTAAACTACCTATTTAGAGAACAATTTCTTGAAAGAAAGATCTATGACATTCAAACTTTCTTGTATTAATAAGATAAAACCCCACTATTCTTAATCAAGTATAGTCTTTTCTTTATATGTAATATATATTAAGCAACATTTTTGGCACTAAGGATACAAACCTAACTAATATACTTACCTGTGTTTGAAGAACTCAAGACAGATCAACTAAATTAGACTTCAATACAAAACAGTAAAATAAAACAAATGCAAAGTATCCCCCGAGAACACAAATAACAGGAACTAAATCTACTTAGAAGAATCAGGAAGTCCTCAAAAGAAGACATTTCACCAGCCTCTTCATAAGTGTATTAACTTGCTATGGTGGTTTTAAACCCTCACTTACTAAAAATCTGAATCATGTACAGAATTATAAATATACATATAATATGCATATATGTGTATCACATTATTTACAATGATCACTTTAAGACAATCAAATATAATTAAGTTTAACACATGTGACCAACCCTCAAATACAACAAAAATCTTTCCAGTAGAGTTGATAAAATGAGTAGTGTAATTACCAGCAGTATGTTTCCTTGGGGTAGTTCGAATGGAGTATTCAAAGTCAGGTACTGCTCTGCTACTCAAATGAAGGTGGTAATTTCTTGCTTCATCCAATAAATCTCTACATTTTAGATTTTGCTTGACAATCTGTTCTTTTGCCACAACACCCATAAGAAAATCAACTGGCAACAGCGGCAAACGAACCTAAGATCGTGAATAGTTGTGGATATAAAATTTTAGTTGTAATTCCATAGCTCAGTCTCTACTTTCTCTGCAGAATGTTCTTTTTTAAAGTAATTTTCTTCATAAAATCTTTGTAGCATGTAAATGAAATTCAATGTGCTAAGTTTTAAAACAATTTCTAGTATTTGTCTACACTAATAAAATCAGATTATATGTTAAATATAGATTAAATACAGATTAAAGTAGGCTATAAAACAATCCAACTGCCATCATAATCACAGAATCCTTGCTGCCACAGGAAAGATACAACAAAAACATCATTCTTTGTTCTTTTGCCTTTTAAAGCATAAGGCTGAACGTATGGAAATGTGATTTGTTTCTTAAACACACAAACGTTCATATCTCAAACCAGTGAGTATCCTTTTCTTTGAATCAGTTATCTTAGAAGGTTATACTAACTCAGAGATATTCTTCTTCAGTTGAGGCACTCACAACTCTATTGGTGCATTGATTTCCTAGTGGATTAATGGGGGGTGATCAAACAGATAACACAACTGCAATTTATAAGCACACATATACACAAGATACCTAAGAGATTATAAATTTTTTTGGTTTTGTTGATAAATTTATTTTCAAAGTAATTCTAATGTCTATTGTCTCCCTATCCAAGCAACTCTGTTAACAGTAAATGTAAATAAATTTTTAAAAAGATACTTTCTGATATTACAGAAGTAAAATTATAGTAAGGGAAGAAAATGGAAAGTCATTCCTTATAGTTCTTTCCAAAATAAATCCATATGCATTGGAAATAAATGTACTTTCATTACAAAGTATTTTCAGCAAATCTTAGAAACTTCATTTAAAAACAAGCTACAATTGAGTTTTTACATCAGAACCATTTTGTACTAGCATAAATAATCATTATTGCAATCTAAAAAGGAATATTTTTAATAATCAGGTTATAAAGCACAGAATATTTCTAATTTAAATGGAACAAATTCAAATTTGTTGTTAAATAGTACAGTAAGTAAAGAGGAGAGTAAGAGTCAAAGTTCACATTGTATTATATGAACATTTTTACATTTTTTGGTTAATCTACACATCTTATGATACATGATGAATTTATATACATATTTCATTTCTATGTGCAACCTTATTTCAGCCCCTACCTGGGCAAGTGTTTCATCCAACCACTTGGAATGATGCTGAGGATTGGCAAGAAGCCACTTGATAGCTGCGCTATACACCTGCTTTTCATTCTCAATATTTAGATCACTGGAGGATAAAAGCTTGTGTAGATGCTGGGGGGACACACTTACAAAGTCTTCGCATTCCACTACTTCAGTAAAATGCTCACAGGCATACTGATCTGCCATGTCCATTAAGTCTATTCGATTGTGACTTTCTGCAAAAGCTCTTACTGCCAGGCAGTTGGAGGGATGAAAATGTAACTTCATGTATTCACAACAAGCTCTAGCCACCAGTTCAACCTGCAAAATACAGGCTGCATATAAGAGAGGCTGGACGTTGTCAACAGTCAAAGTGAGCCGTGAAGAATAAACAAACTTGACCAAATCTTCTATTGCATCACCATCAAAGTCCCTGATCTCAATCAGCGTTTGCTTGGCTTCAGCCATTTCAGAGAGAAACATGGCTTTGAAGTAGGGAATAACACATGCTAATACTAGTTTGTGACAAGAGATGAGCTTTGAGCCAACCTGTTGAAAACAAAAGAAGGAAACCCAGGTTAATAACAACAGTAGTTTCATGTCATCATGGAACATATACTTTTGCAGGGACAAAAACCCCAGACAAATTTTGTGTATTTCTTTTTACCAATGTATTCCTCCTTAGACACTTACTTTCAAGTAGGCCAGTTCCTTGAAGTCAAGCAATTGTCTTTTCCCAATTTAGGCACTTATCTTTTACAAATGTATCTAACATGTACATGTGCATGTTTGGTATATGGTAAACTATGATTTTTATGTTGTCATATATTTCAGGAGGAGTATGTAAATTAATGAAAATAATAGCAAACATCATCTAGAACTTAACTATGTGTTAGGCACTACTCTTTATTTGGTTTATGAATCCCTTCTTTTTAAAAAAAATTACTAGTTTTACTGATAAAATTGACATGACATTGTGTAACATTAAGATAAACATTTTGATTTATATATTGTATATATTATAACATGTTTACCACAATAATTAGGTCAGTAAATATCAACATTCACAATTACAAGTTTTTTTCTTTCCTTATGATGAGAACTTTTAAGATCTAATTTCTTAGCATCTTTCAAATATACAGTAAAATACTGCTAAACACACTCATCAGGTCAGACACTATTCTAAGTTGTTTCATGTCAATTCAAATACCCCAAAATCCCTAAATAGGCACTTCTGTTACCCATTACTCATTAGTGAGAAAATAGCACTGAAAAGATAAATCATTATTTCAGTTTTACTTATGAGCCTATTTTTTTCATTTCCTATTTATTTTGAAATGATACATTTACATGAACATAACTAAAAACACTGAAACTTAACCACCTTGACTGCTGAAAAATTAGATTGCTTCCAATAGTTTGTCACTACAAAGAACATAGTAGTGAACTTTATTTTAACTGAATCTTTGTTCATGTATCCATTGTTTACTACAGTTAAATTCCTGACAACAGAAATGCAACTTCAAAGTATAGGTACATTCAATACATAGTGCCAAATAGTCCATTTCTGGCTTCCTTAACAACATCTGTGCCCTATAGGGTGTTAACTTCAGAAATAATACCACTATGTAGAATGAAAATACTATCTTCTTGTTTTTCTTCTTTTTTTTTTTTTTAAAGATTTATTTATTTGTGCATACAGAACTGGGGTACAGGCCAGAGACAGAGTGGGGAACAGACCAGGCTTATCGACGAAGTACACTGCTGAGGGGAGCAGCAGGCGGGTCAGGAGAGGTCTGCCACGCCATGTGATCACCTCCGGGCAGGTGGGAATCGAACTCATGCGGAAGTGGCCTTAGATGCTCAGTGCTGTGCTTTAACCCGCTGCGCCACCAGGGAGGGCCTTTCTCTTTCTTTTTTAATATGACTGAATCACTTATAAATCCAGGGCTACTGTATATTGCCTATGAACTGTGACCTTTTTTCTTACTTATTTGTAAGAATACAAACATTTTATAGGCCTTTGTCATTTACTTTTTAAATTTCTCTTTTTAAAGTGTGCCTTTCAACCTTATGTGACCTCTATAGACTTGCATGTACTCAAATCAATCATTTTCTTTAATTAATTTTTGCCTTAGATACTAGATAGGAATCACTGTAATATTCCACAAATATTTACTTCAGGTATTTTTTCTAGTACAGTTGTGGTTTTATATTTTCATCTAGATATTTTGGGTAGTGAGTGGAGATATCTTTTCAATACCATAGTTAACCAGTTCTTTCAGCATGTTATATTAAATAAACAATGAGTATAAGTAAAAGAATAGCAGTGTTTTCTAAATTTTATTGTTTTACATTGATTCAAAAGGACACCTTTTTACTGATGCTCTATTTGCAATAGGGAAGATGTGGAATCAACCCAAATGCCAAAAAATGGAAGACTGGATAAAAAAAGATGTGGTACATATACATATACATACATATATATATAATGGAATATTACTCCGCAATCAAAAAGATAAACTCATGCCTTTTGCAGCAACATGCATGGAGCTGGAAGGGATCATGCTTAGTAAAATAAGTCAGAAAGAAAAAGTGAAATACCAGATGGTTTCACTCATAGCAGGAGCGTGAGGGATGGAGGGGCGGGGAGAGACAAACAAAGGTAGCAGAGTAAAAATGAAAGCAATGAACAACTATAAACCAAAGACACTTTATGGGGTTGGGAGGGGGAACAGGATTAGAGCTGGGGTGGGAAGAGTGCACTGGACTGTGTTGATGGCACACAAGTGAATTGGTCTTAGGAAGCCCATGGGTAATACACCTGGGATGGAAAAATGCACAAAATGAAGAATTATGTAAAAATATTTTTAAATTTAAAAAAAAAAAAAGAAATTTTCTTGTTTTCACATAAGGTTCTGATTATACATTTATAGTTTTCTCTCCTTGTTTGGGAACAAATTTTAAAGTATTTCCAAAGAAAATAATTTGAAGATTGTTACAATGCATAAATAATTTTGCATGTTAAATCTTCTCCCAACTTTCCCCCCACTAATAAATTACTAACGTAATTTATTTTAACAAGTACAAGATAATTTGTTTTCTTATGTTTTTATAAGAATTGAAAAATCAGAATTTTGAGTCTATGCAGACTCAAATTGTTACCTAGACTACAGAGGAAACCTGAACATATTTTCACATTACATCTAAAATGGGATCTGAAATCTGATATTGAACATTTAAAAATATGTGCTCAATTAAACAACTTGCCAAAACCCCATAATAGTATTACAGTGTTTCTATATAAACATTATTTTAACATGGCATTCTGATGCAAGTTGTAAAAATCAATGACCCATATAATTTTCATGTTGTTTGTAATAAGGTTCTGTCCATCTGTAAGTCTATTTTCTGGATTCAAGTAAACATAGATGTTCAAATGCACACAGAAACACACACACATAATCATACTCCAGAAATATCTTTGAGGACCTCCCTGGTGGCTTAGGGGTTAAGTCTCAGTGCTATCAGCACTCAGTTCTATCAGTGTGGCCTGAGTTAGATCCCCTGCCAGGGCGCTAACCCACATATGGCACAGCAGACCTCTTCTGTCTCATCTGCTACTACCCTTAGCAGTATATTTCAGTAAATCTAACGTTCTGCTCCCTATTTTGTCTCTGGTGAATCCTCTTACCCCTCGCACCTGTGACCTATACCCTAGATCTTGTACACACACACACAGACACACACAGGGTCTTTGAGCCTTATGTGTGAAATAGGAAGATCAAACTTTTTTTTCCTTACACATTAATTTTCCCTTGACACTATGTAGTTTCATTTTATTCTTGAAAATCTATTTCTACATTTTTTTTCTCTGGCACATAAAAATAATTATCAGTCACCAAAGATACTTCATCAAAAATTGAAATCAAAGTTTAAAGATTAGGTGCTTATCACTGAGTGAAAAAAATGCAAACTACAAAAATATCAGATATTACAATTTTAAAATTATACAGTGTCCTTGATATAGTGGATTTTCTAATTTGCAATTAATTCAGATGCTCAGGAAAAAAGTCATGTCAAACTGAAACTGAAGTTGAGAAATATACAATATACATGCCAACAGTAAAAAGAGCTTTTACTAAAAACAAAAACAAAACAAAACCAACTAAATCACTAATCAAAGCCATGAGAAATTGTCCATAGATTTGGTATTCACAATACAATGAAACAAAAGCTTTTACATTGGAAAGACTCTACTTCCACAAGGAGGTGGGGTGAGGAGGGAGGGACATGGTCACAGCTGGAAGAGAAGCACCTTCATTGTTGATTTAGTACTTAGGTTCTATCAAAAAACAAAAACAATCGAATCCAAAACAATCAGGCAAATAGGTATAACCAAAGCAATCAGCCAAATAGGTAGAACTCTGAAAATAATAAGATGGTTTCCTGCTAAATTATAAGGTAAAACGGCACAAATACCAGATAAACAAAACCAGTAAGAATTTCATTAAGAGGAAGCAAAAGACAGGAGGGATGAACACAAAGGAAATGGTGATGGTTCACAGTTGATAAGGTGGTAGGTGAACTATGGGGACTACAGTGATGTAAGAAAAAATTTAATTAATAAAAAAATAATTAAAAACACTCTAAAATTGTTTTCCCAACAGGAAAAAAAATATTACATTAACAATCAGTTCTCATTAACAAAATGAACCCAATCTATTATCATATAATAAAGATCATACACTTCACAACTTTTCTTTTTTCCTTCTGACTAAAATACGTATTCAATGTGCAAAATATAAAGGCACAGGAAAATATAAAGGTTACTCATAACTCAACAAGTAATATTACAACAGGGTGGTCCCACGGAAAAGGGAAGATTCCAGATTTTCTGCCTCACCCAAAAGAAGGGTGGAGCTGAGGCGGGAGAAGAATCTGGAGAGGAGACTGAAGAGGAAGGAAGCAGGATGATGAGCCAGAGACAAGGAAGAAGCAGCTCTTGTTTCTTGGCCCTGAACTGGTTGAAAGAGATGAGGGTGAGAGGTTGGCTATGGCAGCATTTATCTTGGTTTTGATTCTGCTCTTTTCCTCCCAGACTTGTCTGGTTAACTTCTGACCCTTTTCTATGGATCTGCACCAGAAGGTGCTTTAGACTTGTGGCAAGTTTTCAGGTCTTGCTTTGGGCCAATCCCTTTTGGGTAGACTTTTGCCCACGATGGGATGGGTAACTTTGGGTGTATGATTTAGAAACTATATTCTTTCTCTTTTCTGTATTGCTCATTAATTATATTAAAGCTCCTTTCCATTATAGGTCTTTTATCTCAGTGCAGCTGATGGCAGAACTGATTTAGAACAGACAGGTTTGGGGGTCTAGGAGTACCCCTTTTATTGCCCTGTAACAAAATCATCCTATTGATAAATTTCCTTCTAACTTTTTCCTATGTATTTTTAAACATAATCGAGACTGCCCTGAAACTGGTCATCTTCGCCCATGTTTCTGGTTCTCTAAATATCTTAGGAACTAGAAATATGTAAGGTACTAGGAGTTTAAAGAAAGAGAATATAGGTCATTTACTCACAATATAACACTGTACAAGTAGATAACCTGGCTTAAAACTCACAGCTTATTCTTTCAGTTTTAGGACTTTTACTGACTTTTCCCCTTATTTGATTCTACAAATATGCCCTCAATTTCCAAGACTTTCAACTTTAAGAAACTGTCTGATCAGGAGTAGAAAGCAAAATCTAAGATATCCCAATGTAGCAAATCTCATATGGAAAATGTTTCATGGATGCATATGAATCATCAAAAAAAATAAAACATTACACTGGAGATTAAGATTAGTAAGAAAGTACTTTAAATGAGTAATAAGAAACAATCAGAACACAGACACTTGTACACTGTTTTATCACTTTTCCAATTGTATTAAAACGGTCTTGTGAGGCATAGACTACAGAGTTAAAAAATTTACTAAAGACCTTTAATCTAAATTGACTGTACTATCAGGTACAGGTAAACAATAAACAAGAGGGTATTGAAGCAAACACAGAATAAATTTCCAGAATAGAAAAATACAGTAAAGCATGAGTGCAGGTTACTTCTAATCAATATTAGGAATAAATCAGTACTTGAAGATTTTTAAATTCACAAGTTATAAGCTTCTCTTGTCAACAGTGATTTATTAATTTTACTACTGATAATTACTCATTTGATCTTATTTTAATTTTCAGTTCCTGAACTTGCAGAAGTTAGACATTAGGAATACCATTTAATTCATACAATCATTTTGTCTTATCTACCTCTTCCTTACATCTCTTTCTCTCAATAAAAAAGACTACAAAAATTCTGACTGTAACAAATAAGTACAGCAGTAAAAATCTGCCTTGTGTGGTTTACAAGCCTTCATTTTTCAAAAATCACTGAAGAGACTGAGAAAGCTAAATTACCTTTAGCGTGACGTCACAGAGTTCTCCATTTTCATAAAACCGAAGAAGAGATCCATGAAAATCTTTCCAAGCTTCATTTGCTTCAAAGATAAAGGAGTCTTCTCCATCACCATCACTAACTGAAGATCTGTTTTTTATCTGCTGGTGCTGTTGCCTCTTCCCTTTTGTGAAGTGATTTCTAACTTGTTTTGCATTCATAGGTTCTGAAGCCATTTGCAAACAGTCTTCTTTTAGTGTGACTCTCTTCTCAAACATCCCAAGGGTATGAAGCAGGCAGAATGTAGATGCAATCACTAAACTTCACTTTTACAAACACATGTAAGTGCCATTGTCCAGTTTGCTAAGATTGGAAAATTCACCACGAATCACACATAAAAACAAACCAAAAGAAAAACTATCATTAGTAATTGTAGTGTGCCAATTACCTATGTATCAAATAACCACACAAATTATCATTAAAGAGATAACTAAATTCTGCTAAGTATTATATAAAGTTTACTTCAATTAATTATTTTTATCAGTGAAGGAATTCGTTTAAAATTTAATTTGAAAATTCTTAAAAGATGGTGATGCAAGACATACCAGCAATCTATTTCCCCAAGGTAAATTATGATCAGTTCAGTAGCAGCTTCCTGGCCCATGCGACCCATCAAGTTGGATTAGGCATATTGTCTCTCAATAGAAGAACATTTAATCTCATAGCAAGTTCGGGAGGAAAGATGGAGTTCAGAGCTTGGTAGACTTTCAGAGACCTAGAAGAATAACTACTAGAAGGACTACCATTGACTGGCTGACTTGCAAAATTCTGCGCCCCAAATCAAGCTGTTATTGATTGATTACGCTGACTAAAACTAATTCTAAAGAACTGAGTAAGCAGGTTTAAAATTAGTTCCAGTGAGTATTACCATGTTAAGTAAACAGTCAAAGACTCTGTTTGGGAACTTCCTTTCATTTTCACACATAAACCAACATACACATACATATGTGGTAAGAATATCTATCGATCATATGGTTTTATAACCAAATTTCAAGAAATTGAAATAAAAATATAGAAATATTATCAGTAGTAAAGAGAAATAGCTGCTTGTCTTAACTGGTCACCACAAACACTGCAGATTCTGGAAATTCAAAGGTGAACATTAAAAGTACCAGCCAAGTGTTTTATATCATTACTATTCAGTAAAATGAGTCTGGTTCACAAACTTTTTACAGGTCCGAAATAAAAAGTACAAAAATAGGCTGTTTAGAAACTTTTACAGCAAAGTTGTATTTGACAAAGCAAAGTTGTAATTTTATGTCCAATGAATCTAATTAAAAAACTGAGGTTTGCATTTTTTGTATGTCTTTTATTTCACTTTTATAATAATTCATTTATTGCCTTTTATAAACAAATACCGTTTCATACACTGTTCTGCCAGAGTTTGAGCACTACGTTATAGTGTTTTATAGTATTCAAGAGGCAGATATCCATAATTGATAAGGCTGTATTATGTTTTATTATTCAGAAATAAGCAAAAGGGATGTGTATAACACACCTAATGAGTAAACACACTTGCATCAAACTTTGAAGAATACTGCTGGCCACTTAAAAGAAATCCCTCAGAAAGTGATAGAGCATACTTAATGAAGGATGCATCATCAGTCTGCTAGGTGAGCTACTAGCGCATACCATATGGAAAAACATGATTATGAGACAAAGTTGCTTCACAATAGTCAGACTCTAACTGTGAAATACTTACGAATATCTTAACTAATTAGTCTTTGTAATTCTCCTTTAAAAAATGGATGCAGGGCCCTCCCTGGTGGTGCAGCGGTTTAAAATACTGCACTAAGAAGCTGAAACCACTTCCGCATGAGTTCGATCCCCGTCTGCCCCAGAGGTGACCACATGGCGTGGCAGACCTCTCCTGACCCGCCCGCTGCTCCCCTGAGCAGTGTGCTTCGTTGATCTGCCTGTTCTGCTCTCCACTCTGTCTCTGGTGAAGTCTTTCGCCGCCCCTGAGTCTCTGGCCTATACCCCAGTTCTCTATGCACAAATAAATAAATCTTTAAAAAAAATAAATAAAAATGGATGCAGGAGGCCCTCCCTGGTGGCTCAGTGGGTTAAAGCACAGCACTAAGAAGCTAAAGCTACTTCAGCATGAGTTCGATCCTCGCCCCAGAGGTGACCCACACTGCGCAGCCAACCTCTCCTGACAGGCCCACTGCTCCCCTCAGCAGTGTACTTTGTCAGTCAGCCTCTTCTGTTCCCCACTCTGTCTCTGGTGAATCTTCTCACTGCCCCTTCACCTCTGGCCCGTATCCCAGTTCAGTATGCATAAATAAATAAATCTTTAAAAAAAATGGATGCAGGCACCTAACCCCTGCTCAGGGGTTAAAAAGACAGAAATCAATTAAAAAAAAAAAAAAAGAAGAAGAATGAACAACTAAAAAAAAAAGACAGCCCTATCAAGCTATAGCCAGCCACATTTCCATCTGCAGGCAGCCAGGGAGGAGACCCAAATGGTACAGCAGACCTCTCTTGTCATACCCACTGGTCCCCTTCAGCAGTCTATTTCAGTAGATCTGCCTCTTTGCTCTCCACTCTGTCTCTGATGAATTCTCTTACCCACTGAACCTCTGGCCTAAACCCCAATTCATGTATGCATAAATAAATAAATCTTAAAAAAAAAAAAAGGGATGCACATTTTTTTTTTAAGTTTTATAAAATAATCCCCCACCACCACCCCTAAAAGTTGAATGAGAGAATTCTTACCATTAAGGAGCTTGAACAGGGTAAGGTAGATGGACACATAAACAGATGATAGTAAGGTAAATGCAACAATAGAGATATACGAATACAATGGGTGAGCCTCCACTAGTGATCAAGGCTTCCCCACTGAATGTGTTAATTCACAGTACTCCGAGTTTCCATTTTACTCTATGCAACTCTAACCAAGTCTTTCACTTTCTAAATACATACATTCTACATTCTACTTCCTAAATTCTCCTCATTTTGTTGGCCTTGCTTCTCTAATCACACTGCTTAGTCATAAGCCCCATCCTCTCATAGCTATATTGTGAGAGACTCTTAACAGCCTCATTTCTCAGTAACACATTCTTTTACTGTTGCCAGTTATCATTCTCAAATTCAAATCTGATTACATTACCTCAATGTTTAAATACTTCCATAAATATTGTAAGTAGGAAAAAATGGGACACAAACTTTATGATTCCTATTTTGTAAATACATTAAATAGGTTTCCACTCAACTTAGATTCCACCTGCAACTACTGTTTTGAAATAAAATAATGAAATGATTCCAAAGTTTAGGTAATCATTAGAGAGAAATGTGAAAAGGAAAATAAAAAAATTACTTTAAGGTGGGTCACAGAATACTAAGGCATATGCTATACAAAGTATATTCCCAAAGTTGTTTAAATTCTAAAGGACCAAATGTTCATTATTATTGCTAGCAGTCTGTTTTAACTATGTTAAATATTCTTATATATCATAATCATGAATAAGACTTTAAATTTCCTTATCAGGAGGTACACACCTGTTGACTTAAATAGAAGTAACATAGTACAGTAGAACAGTTAACAAGCTATGTCACTGGGAATTTATCTATCTCTAGAAATCTCAGTTTCTTCATTTGTAAAGGAACAGATTTGGTCTAGGTGATACATCAGTAATTTTTTCCCATACCTCAGTTATCTATTGCAGTTGTTGTGAAGGTTACATGAATTAGTATAATCTATCTAGAGTACTTAGATAGCCCTAACATAGCAACCATTCAGTAAGTGCACTTTTTACTTCTATAAATCATGTGACCCTGAGTCGTTGGTCAGTAACACAATTCTACAATCAACATTTTTCCCTGCAAAGAAATAAAATTTTATATGATTTATGATTTACATTAAGAGAAATTAAAAAAAAAGATTTATTTATTTAGCCACACAGAACTGGGGTATAGGCCAGAAGTGCAGAGGCGGTGAGAGGATTCACCAGAGACAGAGTGGGGAGCAGAACAGACAGACTGACAAAAGTTTAATAGTGGGGGATACTTTGCATATGTTGGACAGACAGGCATATGTGGGAAATCTTTATGCCTTCCAGTAAGTTCTGCTGTGAATCTACAACTGCTCTAAAAATAAAATACTTTGAAGGGGAGAGGGGGCTACAAATCAAAATGCACATACCTTAATGTCTGTTACCTAAGGAAGAAATACTGCTTTTAAAAAAGTATCCTTGGCCCTCCCTGGTGGCGCAACGGGTTAAAACACAGCACTGAGAATCTAAAAAGCCGCTTCTGCTTCCGCATGAGTTCGATTCCCGCCTGCCCCGGAGGAGACCACATGGTGTGGCAGACCTCTCCTGACTCGCCCGCTGCTCCCCTCAGCAGTGTACTTCGTCGATCTGCCTGTTCAGCTTCCCACTCTGTCTCTGGTGAAGCCTCTCACCGCCCCTGAGCCTCTGGCCTGTACCCCAGTTCTGTATGCACAAATAAATAAATCTTTAAAAAAAAAAAAAAGTATCCTTATTGTGTTAATTTTCCTACCAGGATACAGAGCGTGCAATATTACAGAATATAATGCCATCGTATAAATAATAATAGTAATCTTATTTGAAAGCAAAAATTAGCAGTTATATATTGTAATTATGATGAAACTAAGTGAATATAATTGCGTACAGTATCCTGAGATTTCACTTTATCTTCAGAGCATTTCGTACTTTGTAAGTAATATATACAGTGACTAGAAGTATGAAGAGCATCATGGGAGCCCTCCCTGGTGGCACCGGGTTAAGAAGCTAGCTGCAGCTGCTTGGGCAGGAATTCCATCTCTGGGCAGGAAGGTGACCCACATGGTACACCAGGTCTCTCCAGTCTCACCCGCTGCTCCCCTCAGTGTACTTCATCAATCCGCCTGTTCTGCTTCCCACTCTGTCTCTGGTGAATCCTCTCACCACTTCTGCACCTCTGGCCTGTACCCCAGTTCTGTATGCATAAATAAATCCTAAAAAAAGAGAGGGTCATGGGCTGACACACTAAAGGGAGGTGCCATAGGAAGGAGCAGAAAAAGCAGCAACCAGGAAAAAAAAAAAAAAAAAGCTATCGGGTCAGCGGAGGTCCAGACTACTTATCCAAGTGTATCTATGAAAAGAGAGGGGGTGGGGAGGCCCAGGTCGCGCTAAAACGATAAAGAGGATGTCCTCAATGAACGAGAATAGTATGAAGAGTAGAATTTTCTATTTACAAGGGGGGAGGGTGGGAATGTAAAGAAAGAAAGTGCCACCAGGAGGCAAGACAGCTGTCAGTCCAGGTTCCCTCAAGGACGGTTTCCCAAGAAATCCTCCTAGAGTGGCAATATCAGCCTAAGGCAAAAGGCCAACAAGAGTGATGACATTAAAATAGATTAATAAAAGAAACAAGGTTCCTTTTTCGACGAAAAATCATCGGATGAAACAATGCCAAGTGGAAAAATATGTAAAAGCTTTTCCGAACCCAGGTGCCCAGACGTAAGACCATACAAAAGCGGGGAAGGCGGTGCCTCGAGCTAGCAAAGCCTCGCGACGCAGGCAAATTGACCTCCCCGAAGAAATTAGCCAGAAAAAAAACGAAAACAGTGGAGACAGTGTAGGTCTGTCTCGCCGCGGTAACACAACTCTAAGAAGCAGCAGCAGGTCTGCAGGAGGCTGCGGTTTCCGGTGTCACACCAGGAGGGACTATTAAGTGCAGTCTCCCCCACCGCGGAAGAAAGCCGGGTGCCGGCGGCGAACCCCCAAGACCCGCAAGTCCTGAGACAGAAGGAGCGCCCCGCCCCCAGGCGAGCTAGACCCGACCGGCCGCCCACCCCAGAACCCGCCAGGCACCCAGCGGCTCCAGCACCGCCTCCTGCGCGCCCCCCGGGCCAGCTCCCTGCCCGCGCAGCTCCCGTGTCCATTTCTTCTTCGAAAGACCGACAGAGAGAATCTAGGCGCAGCCGCGAGGCTGCAGGAGTCCGAGGCGGGGGTTCCCTTCGGACAAGCGTCCCCGTCCCTCCTGCCTGCGGGGGCGACAGACAGTGCAGCGGTTGATTGGGCCCCAAACCCTCTCCGCTGTAGTTTCTGGTCCTTGCTCGTAGGGCTGCACTTTCTTCCCGGCGCCAGCGCTCGAGCACTGAGGCATTAGGAACGGGGGCCCGGGTGAGGGAGGCTGGGCGCGGGTGGACCGCACCACACAAAGAGAGGCGGAGAGGAGGCGCGGGCGTCGGGTTACCTGGATTCTCGGCTCGTCCCTGCGCTCTGCTCCTCGCGGCCTCGCCAAAGCTGCCGCGCGCCAGCGAAGTGTCCGCGCCGCGAACTGCGCCGCACAAGCCCCGCGCGAGCACTGGACCGACGCGCGCCTGCTGCAAGACCCCGCCGCACCACCGCCGGCGCCGGCGTCCTCTAGCCTCCGCCTCTCTGTGCCAAGGGCTCCGGGGCGGGCCGAGGAGCGCGCGCGGGGCGGGCCGAGGAGCGCGCGCCCGGCCGGCGCACAGCACTCTGGGAAATGTGGTTTCTCGTTACCTGCTGGGCGCGGGTCCCCACCTTCTGCCCCTTATGCCTGTGGTGGGCGCCTTATCCTCAAGGAATTGGCCTGTTGTCCTGCCTGGTGAAGGCTGGCCGGGCCCGCGGACAGCTTCAAACTCCCGTTTGGACACGACCCCGCAAAAAACTTCTGAAGTTTTGGGTTTTTTCCTTTACACGCCGTGGGGAAATTTAGCTTTTTTTAATAGTCACCAGTTCCCCTTCTGTGCAGTCTAAATGTTCTTCGGACCATCGTGGCTGTTTCCTTGAAAAGGAAGGAAAAGTAATTCCTGTGTGACATTATTCCTATGTCACTTTCTCCGCAAGTTCTACAAAGGATATACAAAACAGCTTGTGTTTATAAGTACATATCCAGTTTATAAATCTAAGGAAGTAGTTGATTGACCTAATCTTGCTGCCAAAGCCCATTGCAAGTAAAAATGAGAAAATAAACCAATTTTCACATAAAGTCAATGGAATATGGAAGTTTAAATCTCTAGAGAGCAAGGAAATAGAAAATGAGTCACTTAAATGTGTCTTTTGCTAGAGAACCTCAGGCTTTCCCAGCTGCAACATTCTACTTCTGAGAGCTCTACTTCCAGCTCTAGGTGCAATGAGGAGTATTTGCATAGATTTGTATTTATTTTCCCAGAAAAGAACTTTTCACAAAATATTAGCATACCATATAAACCCCCAAAATAACTATTTGAATGGTTTTATTCCACAAAAAAATCAGCTTTTTATATAGTAGAAATAGAAATAATTTTATTACTTATTAAAATAATCTTATTCAAAATAGCTCTTCAGAGTATTATATTTTGCATATTTAAAGCAAGTTCCCATAGAAAAATAGAGCAGCATCGGTTTTAAATTATGCACTAGAACAAAGAAGTTGTAAAATTTGTATAGAAGCATGGCATTATATTTAATAAGAGCATGTTTTAATACAATTTTTTATTAGTCTGATCTTTTCTCCTTAACCAGGTATACAATGTCTCCTAAAAACGTTTATAGAGCAGAACTGGTCTTTGTTCTCTGCTAATTGACAGTCATAACTAGATTAAAGAACAATATCATTTACTTACTCAGGAATATTTATTCAGCACCTATTATGCAAACTAGGCTGAACAAAATTGACTAGTGCCTGCAACTCATAGAGTCTAGTGAAGACAGAACTTAGCAGATATTAACAAAAAGGGTGACAAGAAGAGTGGGGAACACACAAGGTACACCAACCTAGACCTTTTAATTGGGGAGTAGAATCAGACAAAAATTCTGAAAATTAAATGAAATGCTCAAAGCAAATAATAAATGGGGGGTGGGGTGGGGAATGATCTTTCCCTAAAAAGTCATATTCACAACAGTGTTCTCAAGTAGTTACTTTTAAAAGTGTATCTTCCAAAACAGCATATATCTTGATGGAATTCAGAACATGCATACTCAAAACATGGCACCTTGGCATATTGATTATTTTAAAATGAAGGAATAATAAAATACAGATGCTGACCTGAGTGACACTCCCCCCCCCCATCCTTCTTCCTTGAAATAACTCATAGATCTTCATGTGGAGGGCACCCTCTCTCTATCAGGAGGAAAGAAGACTTGTTTTTCTTTTCTTCATATCCCTGACTCATATCTTAGCACCCGCCTCCACAGTCAACATTTACTGTGTTGCTTCAACTTCTCTTAAAACAATTCTTCCTTTCTGCTCCTAAGACATGCATGGCTGTCTTCTCTGTTCCTGACTCCAGTACATCTTATGCTATTTTAATCAGATTTGGGGCTGGGGGTAGGAGAGAAGGCTGTAAAAGCAAGCCTTGTTAAACTAACCTTTACCCAGTTATTAATTTTCTACGCTAACCCTAACCCTGAACACCTTTGTCTTGTTCCTTCACAAATTTATTCTTTCTTTATCTAAAAGGTGGTATAGTTTCTTGAGCTGGTCACTTCTTCACATCTTTATTTTCTTGTGACTGCTCCTTATGCATGTAAAAATTCAATAAAATTTTTTAGATTAACCTGTTAATCTTAATTTAATTTTCAGACGAAGCCAGGCACCCTAAGGAGAGTCAAAGAACATTTTCTTTCCTACAACCTCAATGAATTTCCTAAATCTGACAGGGTATTTTCTTAGCTTGTATTTTTTCCTCCTCCCTAGAGCCATATAACAATAAAGAGACTTTGCCCTTAATAAGTAAGCCTCTTTTGTTAGTGACTCCTGCCTCCTGCCTTTCCCTAAAGCTCATTAATAAAAACTGGAAGGCACTTGGTGCCTTTTAGCTCATTATTTGGTCCAAATAAATTGCAATATTTTAACCTCAATTGACACTTGCTTTTTAAGTCTTTAACCCTAATCCTGGAATAATAATAAGCCTGTATAATTTCCAAAGATTTTCAGATGTGGCCTGCAGAGGGATTTGTAAGATTAACAAAGAGAAAAATTTTATCTTCATTGTAATGGAGGCAAAATTTGTAAACAGGGCAGTCCCTTGGAGAACTGCCTATCAATAAAAACTTTCTTAAAAAATAGAAGCCAGGCCCTCCCTGGTGGCAAAGCGGGTTAAAACACAGCACTGAGAAGCTAAAGCCACTTCCGCATGAGTTCGATTCCCGCCTGCCCCGGAGCTGACCACATGGCACAGCAGACC